TTTCGGATTCGTAATCTACGCATCAAAATACGTAAGTACAGTCAAAAATTTTTTCAAAATCGCCGGGTGTCCACATAACGAAAATTTACCCAGAAAACTATTCTTGAATTCATAAAAAGCCAACAAGCCCAAGCTCAACTCCAATAATAACAGCTTATCAAGCAATTTCTCCTTCAATTATCTCAGAACTTTTCAAAGCAAATGTTCCAGCCAGAGATGTTAGTGAGGAATTCATCATGGAAACTCTTAGGAAAGAGCATAACTGAATTCCACTACAATCCAGAAAGCAACTCAACATTCCCAGCATGGTTCGAACAATAAGTTTATTTACTGAAGATGGACAGGCTGCGATAACTTTGAAAACTTTATTGGAAAATATTAAACAACTGAACTGGGTGAATTATCAACAAAGCTTTTGTCACTAAAAGGTTTCTACATTCCCCGGATCTTATAAAATAGTGTCTTCGTTTCCAGGACTGCCAACACATAAATTTAGGAAACTAATGTTCAATGCTCAGTCTAGAGTATGGATTTTATAAAAATATATGTAACAAGTTGTTATTAAAGTAGTGGATACTGTAGTGGACTCTATGTTTGGTTGTATGTTCATTAAATAAATTAATGAATGAAACAAACTGAAATGGAAGACATGGCAATGTAAATATAATAATGTATAATAAGCGGACTGTATATCTGGATATTCTTGGAGTAATGAGCCTTTTATTGAATTTCATTATTAGATTAGAGTTACTCCACAAAATCTGACAGCTCTGATTGAAATACACACATCGAAAAAGTCTAGGGATATTTTTATAACATACTAAATATCATAAAAATAAATGCATGAGGTCGTTTAATTTCGATTTAATTGGTACACTTGACCACCCTGTAGATTTCTATGGGTTGAACAAAGCCTGCAAAAACGGTAACTAATCTTTTATCAAGTTTTTTACAAACTGNTTATTGCCATTTTTAAAAATATCCCTAGACTTTTCCAATGTGTGTTAGTTGGATATTAGAACTACATTCAATGACCGATAGACAAATTTTAAACACTTTTAATATGTTTTATACGTATTTTTCAACAATTTTTGTCAATAATTGGCATCCAACTCTAGACTCATATTTGTATATTGTATGCTTCATCAATTTCTTGATCTTATCTTTATGACTACCATTGGACTTATGTCTTGTAAATGATTTATGGAGTTAATAAAATTATCTATCTATCTAGTATTATACAGAAATTTAAGTGGCTGTTCTATCACGTGATTTCAGCAGAATCTAACAAACCTAACCTATCACACACACTTCGCGATACCCATACTTTGATATTAATTGATATTCCACGAGATAATCTACGACCTTCAGAAAGCTTGGAATAGCATTTCAATTCGTCTAATAATTCAATTACGTACGGGTATGATCGACAGGATGAACAAAAAATCAAATCAAGATGCTTTCCAAATAAAAAAAAAATTGTAAGCAACACTGTAGTGAATGTAGCGAACTAGATATGAGCGTACAATAATTGCATTCGTTCCCTCCAATACTCAACAATAAAAAATTCAACACACAGAAACCATAAACGGCTTTTCTACTTGCTTATACAGGGTGTTTCAAATTCGATACTAACCATTGGGATCTCGGAAACTATGAGAGATTCGAAGATGGTTGAATTGGGCAAAGTTGCTTGTTTACCTGACTAACAATATGCCATTGGAAAAGTTCTGAAATTCCGAGTATATCCGGAGATATCCGGAAGAAACAGAAATTTCGGAAAATGGTTTTTATTTTTCTCTGGCTTTATTTTTCGAAGAATTCGAAAATAAATTGCACTTTCACATTGCCACATTTTCCCTACTACTACATTGCTATCCTACGTTTCGTCTTCCGGCCACCATCATCAACTTAATTTTTTCTTATGGGCGCCTTTCTGTTTTGAATGAAACCAGATTTTACCTTTTCAATGATGCATCATAAGTTATCATTCTTTTTTGTGAAATTGGAGATATTGAAAAAAAATATTTTTATCATAAGAGGCTTTGACTTTGATGTTTCTAAATTTGACTTTCAGTTTGTTACACTCGATAACATTTTGTTATTGTACAAGTCATTGAATTTTTGTCAAAAAATGGCTTTCACGAATGAAGAAAAAAAAATATATGATACAAATTTATTACAAATTCGATAGAAACAGTGTTAGGACATCGGATTGTCGGATAGCAAATCTGAATACACCATTATGTAGCAGGGAAAAAGTGGCAATGTGGAAGTGCCATTCATTTTCGAATCCTTCGAAAAATAAAGGCAGAAAAAATAAAAACCATTTCCCGAAATTTCTGTTTTTTCCGGATATCTCCGGATATACTCGGAATTTCGGAACTTTCTAAACGGCATATTGTTAGTAAAGTAAATGTGCAACTTTGTCCCAATTTAACCATCTTCATATCTCTTATAGTTTCCGAGATCCCAATGGTGAGGAGTGAATTTGAAACACCCTGTATAGAAACAGTCATCTAAAGAATTATCTTGTGGCAAAGACGAATACAGGGAGCCAAACATGCTTCCAGAAAATAGATAAAGAGTTCCCTTGGTCATTTAATAGAAGGTTCTTCATAAATTCAGGAAATAATTACATACCACAAATTATCAGTTATTTATAAAGAATCGTAATTCGGGTTCACCACAATTAATCACAAATAAATATTCTTTGAGATAAATGAAAATTCACCTTATTTTTACAACAGACAGCGTCTAAATAACAACAAAACAAAATTGTTTGTAATTCATCATTTCTTGAGTCATCGATTACCTCTACACTTACCTTAGTCGCTACATCATCACATTGCCTTAGTGTGCTAAGGACATTACTGGTCAAGTAAGTTGGGGTAACATCTGGTAGAGATTCCTTTACAATACCTCCGAAAATGTAACATACTCTGTTTATGTTACGGCATATTCTTGGTATCACTGAAGAGAGGAACATCATTTCTTCCCAATCAGGTTCCTGATCTGATGATATGCCCACAACGTAACTGTATGATCTACAATCACCTTGGACTCCAACACTACGGATAGGCAATAAAGTGGCAGCAAATTTCTGATGACTAGAGATTTTCTTCAACATTTCCCTAAAACACCAAAAAATTCATATTGCGTGTTGCCTCACGCTCTGGTTATATTCCATTTGTTATTTATTTGTTTATGTGTACGGGTAATCCCCACGAGAAAAAAAAATACAGTAGAATCCGGATATAACGAACTTCAAGGGACCGAATATACTATGTGTACTATAACCAAACGACGCACAAAACGGCAAAATTATTTCTAAAGTACATACATACTTAACTTACGAATACCTTCATGTTATAAATGCAAAAGTTTGACTTTCCTATTTAGGAATCACATTCATATGCTTTATTTTAATGGTTCTCAAATATTCGAACTACAAACATAGGTACCTACATAACGTACTGTAATACAAAGACATAAATTACACACACATTGCACGAAAAAACTGTGTAACTAACGTAGAAAGTCTGTTATTTGAGGTTGTTTTTGACAAACTTTAGTAATATACTTTGCTACCACATTGCCTCCATGTTAACTGCACAACATGTAACTCCCCCTAACTCCTTCTTCTCCTGATGATGCTAACTTGGTTAACAAGGATACGACTTAGTGTCCTTCTGACATGTTGGAACACTAGACTTCTGTTGAACCAACATGTTTTTTTTCAAATGATGTTTTTTGAAACGCCCTGTATATACATTGATACTATGTTTTTTTTCTGAAATGATGTATTTTGAGATACCCTGTCCACATTGAGGGACCGCACATTGAAGTGTTAAATTGTCATATTTTTTCTTGAATTTGATTCATCATTCATCATTATTAATATATCAGTTCACGCTTCCAATTTTTATCGAGTCGTATTCCTAACCATTCGTGCTTGATTTTGAAACCGACAACGCTACATTGCTCTATAAACAAAGATTTAATTCACAATGGACAACTGCTTGCGCTAGCAACGTATAACTTCGATACCATTTCCATCTCTCTTAGCGTCGATTACGTCACACGTGACTCTCACTCTTACACACACACATATACATACACCTTTATATGAAACATCAATTCTTCCCCAAATCTAAGTATATTTTCCTATCTTCTACAGGGAAACGACGTTACAATTCCTCTAACATTCTATGGAAATCAAAAAAATGCGAGCAAGTATATAAAATGAGTCAATTTCAGTCCCGACAAAACCACCGCTATAAATATCAACAATTCGCAATTACTTCCAACATCCCACGTTGGTGTCGAGGTTAAGAACAACGTCTATCACGCAGACGTCCTGGGTTCAAATCTCATACCGATAACCTTTTTTTAATTAGAACCACGTGACTGGTACGTGACAAGTCGGACAGAGTCTCAAAAGGGCTTGAGCGGTGAGGAGGAGTACTAAGGGGGCCGAGAGCGGGGGCCTGCATCGATTACGTCACACGTTTCCCCCACTCCTGTTTGAACTAAAAATTGCAAAAAGTTTAGCTCCATGAGAAAATACATTGGATTTTGCGCCAGGACCAAGTTTGCTCATCTACTGGATTTGAATTTCCCGCTGTACGCGCTGTAGCTTCTGATTGGTCGATTGGTATTACAGTAAAAGTGGAGGAGTGAGCTCTGAAAGTCTAAGGCCCAATTCACACAGAATGGACGTCTGGCAGAGACGAGGCGCTGGTCTTTATCCCTTCCGTGTGAATTGAGCCTGAGGTCCAATAAACGATAGAATCGACTTGCTCAAATTTACACGTGTATTCCCATAAGGAATGGCTTAGAACTCTCCTAGCTATAATACTAACTTTTGTTCGGTAGTGAGAACTGTGAATTCATGACATCATTGTTTTCATAAGATCATCATTAAAGTTAGTCTGAACAAACACATTGAACGTTTCAACAGCCTTCAGAGCTTAAGACACACTCAAGGTTGGATAAATCTCCTCTGGTTCGTCATCATCACCGGCGCTACTTTTGCTATTCGCGTCGTTGGCGATGATATTTTCCGTAATGTTTTTATCGGACGGTTCTTCACGAGTGGCGACAGCATCATCGACATACGCGTACTGTTCAAAGTTCTCTATTGTTATGGGAAACTGAAGCCTATAGGCTTCAGTTTGTTGTTGATAGCTATCAACAGCCCTCGCCCACACGCTCAGCCGTACGTTGTCTTCTTCATTAAAATCATCTACTTTGAAGTTATGCTACATTCTACATTGCTTCGCACAAAACCAGCGTGTTTGTAACAATTAAAAATGGTTGCTTGAGAGTAGATGAACAAAGCCGGTTCTATTACACCGGAAATTCAACTAACATAAGCGATGAAGTACATAGAGCTATGCGTAACCGTCACATACTTGACCAATTGCGCCAAGAAAGCTCTACACGAAAAGCGTTACACGAAAAACGTTACGCGAAGCGCTACACCAAAAAGCGTTATACGAAAAAAACCTTACGCAAGTAAACGTTATCCGAAAGCGCTACACGAAAAGCGTTACGCGAAAAAACGTTACGCGAAAAAAACGTTACGCGAAAAACGTTACGCGCAAAAACGTTACGCGAAAAAACGTTACGCGAAAGCGCTACACGGAAAGCGATACGCGAAAAAGCGTTACGCGAAAAAGCGTTACGCGAAAAAACGTTGCGCGAAAGCGCTACACTAAAAACGTTATATGAAAAAAACCGTTACGCGAGTAAACGTTATCCTCTACACGAAAAGCGTCACGCAAAAAAAAACGTTACGCGAAAGCGCTACACGAAAAGCATACGAAAAAACGTTACGCAGGTAAACGTTATCCGAACGCTACACGAAAAGCGTTACGCGAAAGCGCTACACGGAAAGCGTTATATGAAAAAACGTTACGCGAGTACACGTTACTCGAAAGCGCTACACGAAAAGCGTAACGCGAAAGCGCTACACGAAAAGCGTTACGTTTTTTCGTATAACGCTTTTCGTGTAGCGCTTTCGCATACGTTTACTTGCGTAACGTTTTTTTTCGTATAGCGCTTTCGCGTAACGTTTTTTCGCGTACCTAACGCTTTTCGTGTAACGCTTTCGTGGCGCAGTTGGTCAATTATGTGCCGGTTACGCATAGCTCTATGTACTTCATTGCTTCTGTTAGTTGAATTTCCGGTGTAATAGAACCGGCTTTGTTCATCTACTCTTGGGTTGGTCCCAGGCATTTTGAATCATTAGAATAGCATCAAGAACAGTGATCTTTAGGTACCCAACACTTCTGTTTCAGCAGTCTTCTAAAAAATGGATCATTTTCAGGACAAGGTTTTGACGAAAATGTGCTTTCAAAAATCGAATAATCCCTTGATCCATGGATTGCAACACTAATGTCGTGTTGGGAGGCAGAAGCACCAGGGTTATGCTTTTCAAGTTTGCAATATGAGGATGTGCTGGACAGTTTTGTCAACTAACAGCAGGATCCCATGATCCCATGCGCATACCCATTTAATAAAAATGTCAGCCATCATCCAGGCTCTTCGATTGCTCTCATAATCCATATATTTTCAAAAAATCGGGTAAGTTGAGATTTTCCGGTTACGAGATTTTTTTTTAACACAGCCTAGTTTCGTCTGTATTTAAAATGTCTTTATCTTTAAATTGCACACGTAGAGTAGGCCAAACTTTTTCTAACCAATCAATTACATCACTCTGTTGAACTGACCAAGACTCGCCAGCAAGCTTTCCACTGACAATGTTGTGTCTTACTTTAAAACAGTTTATCCAACTCATGGAACATGTGAAGTTTTGCATGTCTAACTGTTCAGAAAAAAAGTTTGCTTTCTCTTGCAGCTGAGGTCCATTAACCGGTATTTTAAAGTGAAATTCCTGTAATGTCACAACTAAGACAGTTGGCTTCTCTCATAAATCTGGACATGGCTGGGAAGTATCCGTAGTTAGTATCCATAGTTAGAATCAGAGGTGCCATATTTATTGGAACTGTGGAACTACTCATTTCCCTCCCTCAGAGAAATAGATATGATTGAAAAAACCTCGACCATTAGAAGTGACATTTGAATTGACATCAGATCAAGCAGGCAGAGCATTCACTACATTGGCTAGACTTTTAATACCATTGAATACGATGCTAGAGATCCCGTCCCTAGTTTGAATAAAAATGTTATAAGGTTATTTAGGGTACGCCCTGAACGTTTCTGGGGTAAACTCGTATGCAGCTGAAGCACGGTAAAAATCAACCAGTAAGTCCACTCCCACTACTTTCATTCATTATGGCTTTTTTACATCTCCTATTTTCCAATCACTTAATAATGAAACAAACAACAATAACCAACTACAAAAACTAAAAACAAGAATAACAACAGCGAATGAACTAAACACAATATCAATTATCGACCGTTCATTATAACTAATCCGATGTCCGTGGTACCGTCGAATCCTTCGATACTACAGCACTGAACGCGTTGGATGAGAATCTCATCCTAAGAGCGGTTGAAGGTCCCCGGCAACTCGGGCAGATCACGTGGTAAGAGAGCCTACTGGTTGTATTATTCTACTGTGGCTGAAGTAAGTTGATAAAAGAAGGAAAATTGGAGGAAAGATATATCACTCAGAACTCACTCAGAACCGTATACTGAGTCGTATAGTTTTTCTTGAACTCCAACCAATATTCTATTCATTAATCGATTTTTTGGAATCCCTGCCCCGAAAATACTGGAGGTTAGGCAGCTTGAGGCTCCGGCGTCAAGTCACAAAACCCTTGCAGCCTGTCACTACCTGAGGAGTAGGCAGATTGAGATCTTAGTGCAATGATAGCTTCTCAAAAATAGCTACAAAGTTCAAGCCAAAACGTCAAAATGCTTAAAACACAAGACGCGGTTTAACATGGAAACCGCAGAAACCTTTCCAAAGACACACACACTGCCGTGGTTTTCAGCGGTGTCATCTTCAGTGGCGTACTCTTCTTGACATATCAACAATTTGAGTCGACATGTCAAGAAGAGTAGTTTGACCACGCCACTGAAGATGACTGCCGCAGTTGCAGTTGGAACGTTTGGAGATTATAACCAAAGAATACCACAGCAAAACCCAGAAACAAACCAAAATATTGACGCCAGCCGTGAAAGCCTACATTCCTATATAATATACTCACCTTTCTTCATTATTTATAGCGTCTTCAACCCTATTCAATAAGCCATGTTTCCTCTTTACCATTTCACTGAATTCAACTATAANCTTATATTTGTGGAAACAATTCATTGTTTATAACTTTTCCAGGTGATTTTTCATAACGATAATGAAGGGATATATTTAAAAAATAGCTTGTAATTGATATTTACCTTGATCTCGTAATTTTCTAATGAGTTCAGAGTCATTGTGGTGTGTTTTGATTGTATCAGCTTTGGAGGACACTAGTTTTGATGCAGACTCAATCAAATCAGGCCTTAAGGTTCCTTGTCCCAAAAATACGTCTTCAGGTTTGAGATTGAGATCAGCAACTATTTCATCAGATATTTTAACAAATATATCTCCTATTATCTTTCTCTTCTCTTCTGGACTTGAAGTCATGCATAACATTTTAGTTTCCACAGTTCTATTTCCCTCTTTTTTATCTACTGGTATAATTGTTGTACCTTCACAAAAGTTTGATGCTGCATTAATCACCCTCAAATTGAGACCAATTTTCATTAAACTATTGTGCACTTTTGCACTCTCATTTTTCCTCATAAAACCATTATCGATGTGAATCGCTATTACTTGATTGGGCGTTAAAGCTTTGTGTAACAAGGCTGCACAAACAGTGCTGTCTACACCACCACTAAGTAACAAAAGAACTTTTTTGTCCCCGACAGTTTCTTTAATATATTTTATGCATTGTTCTTCTCTTCCTTGAATAGTGAAATTGCCAGTCATTCCAACTACATCAAAGAGAAAGTTTTTGAGCATGGTTTTGCCATTTGAAGTTAAATCTACTTCAGGATGAAACTGAACCCCATACAGCTGCAGTTTCTCGTTGCAAATTCCAGCACAAAAAGAGGAACTTTGTGCTACCGATCTAAAATTATCAGCTACTTTGTCTACTGAGTCGCCATGAGTTAATAATACAGTCTGTATTTTGTCTAGGCCCCTGAAAAAAATAATACACATTTACGATTTTTGTACCTCAGCAATGTCTTTGAAGGTGGTGGGGGAGTACTTGCATGCTATCGGTATGAAATTTGGGATAGACAAATGTGCTGTCCATCGCCGTAGAGGGGGATGCGCAGAGGATGTGCAGCTCGTAGAAGGAAGTATCCTGCGCCATTTAGATACCAAACAGACATATACTTACCGCTGGGTGGAACAACGCTACTCACAAGCAGTAACCACAGTGAAGAACTATGTCGAGGGGAGCTGTATAAACCCAACCTGAAAAAATATGTATCTACATAGGAGTTTGCATCCCAAATCGTCCGTTCCACGATTGTCCTTCCCCGAACAACAGTAAGGCCTTGGACATTCAAGTTCGGAGGGTACGTGACAAAACTGTACTAGATGAAACCTGAGAAGTCATCAGGGGTTCCAATTCCCTCTTCTGCATGGTTGGCGACCATGAGAGAGCAAAAGTAAGACAGCTGCATGAGTGACTGATGAACTCGGTTTAGTTTTCGACACTGAACGAGGTATTGACAACTCTTTCACCGAGTTGGAACCTGTTACCCACATGAAAGCTGCAGAGATCACTTCATTCCTGAGGCAACAAAAGCATAAGCCAATGTATGGGGATATTCCGTGCTAGTGATCGCACGTTAAAATTTACTACCTCGTTAATCCTCAGCTCGCACAGGTTTTTACTTCTGAAGTGGTTCGCGATTGTCGAGTGCCAAGGTTAAACTTTGTGTGTTCAAAGTCGAGTAGTGGGGGAGGTTCAGAACCGACATTAGCACCCTACTAATGTTTTAGCTCAATCAGGATCTAAGATGAACCGTTTTAAATTCGCAACCCCTGCATTTGATTATAATAACGATTTACTTTGCCAAGGAACATACAACGTTTATAGCAGGGAAAAAAACATTAATTCAAAAAAATGAATGTAACATAACTAAGTCAGAACAGAGCACAAAAAAAATCAGAACTGACTCTTGAAAAAATATAAATATACATACCTATATACACATATATACACATACACATATATACATACATACACACATACATACATGTTTGAATTTGATCATAAACATAAATGCATTCAGATAATATGTCTGTAAAAACAATAAATATTTTGTCAAATTAATCTGTACTCTTTATTAATTGAATTTCTTTAAAGTATCGGTAGCTAATTGTAATAAGATTTGAATGTGAACTTATTTTTAACCAAATGAATGAAGGTACATTGTTTGAATTTATGTAAAGGAGATAAATCTAATAGTTTTTTTGGTTGATACAAGTTGACTGTATCAACCACCACTTTAATTTCCATTGTAAATTAAAGTGGTGTCATCAGCAAACATTTGTAAGTTACCAAATAAATTTACTGTAGCCAAAGAATGGAAATATATAACAAACAAAACAGGTCCAAGTATTGATCCTTGCGGTACCCCCCCTTTTTTTAACTAATTACGTCGTTAATATAGATATATTGCTTTCTATTTACAAAATAATGTTGAAACCAATTATAAACTAAACCTCGAATACCTATATTATGCATAAATTTCTCATAAGAATTTTATGGTCCACAGTATCAACTGCTTTTCAGGTCTAATGAAAGAACTCAACATTTTTTGTTCGAATCTAAATCTAGCTGCAATTAGATTATGGCGTCTAAAACTGCAGATTCTGTGTCACAATTCAAGAATTCTAAGAGCTGACGTTTTCACGAAAACTAGTGAAGTACTTGAACTTCATGTCATGAAATAGTTGCAGAAAACACGATTTCAAACGGTGAATAGCTCGCATATTTTTATGACAAAAAATTAATGGTTGGTAGCAACAAAGGCGGTTATAAAAATGACTTGAAAAACATGAAGAGGAAAGTTCAATTAATGAAAATTTGACATTTACTGAAACTGATATCGATTACAAACTTGTTGGCCAGTTTATTCTGTCTGAAGTTCGCACAAGTTGAGAAACTTGTGCAAGCTAAGGACTAACGAGGTCTTACCTTTTAACGTGTGATTTCTAACACGGTACTACTAAAGAATATAACATACTTTTTTGGGCGCTATTTTGAAAGTGAAAACATCAAACAGATTTAGGCCACGACGAAGAAAATTCACTATTACAAGCCTCCCTCGATGTCAACTTCAATGATACATTTTGCATGTACTGTAGACAAGTTCGTGTTAAATTTCAGACCTATAGATGTGTTTTAATAGAACAAAAAAAAGTACTTGGAATTTTGAAGTTTCAATTGCTTCCCAATACCCAAAAAAGCAATACTCTTCTTGACGCCTGTTTCTCCATCCTAGAAACTTTCAGGAGATGAAGTTTTCTTATATTAAACCTGATTTTAAAGTTTCAACAATGTTCCCATCTGAGGAATACTGACATCTCTCAGAATTTTTCAAGCTCACGAGGACTATTAATCCCATCAAAATGATGCAATTACCAAGACTAATGACCATAGTGGGCGATTCTGATGGAATAATATCCTATTTTTTTTTATATTTCATACATAGTTTTGATGTGCTACAATTTTTTATGTTAAAAAATAGATGCTACTTTTTTTAACGATTTCAAAGAATGAACTATTTACTAGTGAATAGAAATTACAGACCTTTAATTCACTCATACAATAAAATGATACATTAGGTCTTTGTTTAGGATCTAATAAACCAGACATAGATAGATGAGAGTAACATAACTTTTCAAAAGGGTAAAATCAAGAACTTACTTGAATAATAAACATTTTGTATCGACTTCTATATTAAACACGCCATCTTCTCTAGAATTCTTTCGTACTACTGTACCACCAAATTCTTTGTTCATCATTTGCATTCCATAACATATACCTGGAAAAAAAAATGTTATGATATTAAACTTGAAAGCAAGGTATGATTTTGAAAAAGGGAACCTCTATGTTTTCATACCACTTGTATTTGTAACTTGTATTCGTTAGAAAATGTCCTTATATGCCTTTCAAACGAATACAATATTATTGTATTTTTTTTTTCCTATAATGTTATCCGTATTTGCTACTGAAGAGCTGATGAGGCAAGTGTCTTAACAGCGAAACATCGGATGTCTAGCAGTGAGGATGACAGTGCTCCATATAAGTGAAATTTCACTTCTTTCTTCAATTATATTGTGTAGGAATCCTGTGAATGATATCTGATTCGATCCCATACAAATGTTTGGAATACAAACGGAATAGAGAAAAGTGTTTTTCGTATAATTCAGCGTTCATATAAAAGTATTTGTTTCGAAAGTATTTTTCTTTTGCGTATTTTTCTCAATGTTTATATGAAAATAGCTGTTTCGAAAGGGCTTTTTCTTCCAGTTTGTGTCTGAAAGTTACTTCTTTGCATGATCTACTACACATCTTTGTATAGAGTTAATTTTTTTAAATTGATTGCTTCCTTCTTTTCTTCGGAAGATTCCCACATTTTTGTATAAAAATGGAGAAGGCCAAATGCTTTTTTCTCAAAAAATATGAAGTTTTATTTCACATTTTTCATGATGCCTTCAGAAAATTCAACAAAACTAAATTCAAAGCTCACAGGCATTGTTACTGTTCTGTTCAATCTGACAAGTACTAATTCCGTTATATAAGGTCTCTTAAAAAAATAATAATAATATAATTCAA